AGCTTTGCTCAGTGAGGTAAGTGTCAAGAGGGAAGCTCCACCTCATCACAAGACGCTACTGAGCACTTGTTATTCACCTATTCAGGGGAAATATCCTAATGCAGGACACAGAAGCCATCTAGAGGAATGTCCATATTTTGTATGTATGCTGTTGTCAGGCTTCGGGGAATTCTCTCCCTCCACTGGTGGCAGCAGGAAGCAGAGAAAAACAAAGAAGAGTTCTTACTAATGGGTTTATTCAATCATCACAGCGAGAGACAAAGGAATGCAGTCTGTCTCCCGTCAATGGTGTTGCTCCAACTGAACTCCTCCCCCCTCCCTTCCCAGCAACAGCACTTCCCCATATGGTGGTCTCCAGGGGCTAATTGAGTCCTCTGCTCTTGCACTCTCAATGAACACCAAGTTCCGGGAGAAGGGGGGTCAGAAATATTTTCCAGTGATAACGTGTCAGCTGGCTGCTCTGGCTCTGTCCCCCTTGGCTCTGTCTCCCCACTCCCTTCTCCCAGCACCTCCCAACTCTTCTGTTCACCTGTCTCTGAGCTGTGACCTTCCTCAAACTCCTACTGTAAATCAATACTGCCTTCCTCTTTGGAAGCTTCAGGAGAAGGGGGTGGCGATCTCCACCATTCCTCCTCAATCTTGTCCCCTTCAGTTCAGTCCCTGACAGCTGTGGATGGTCCATTCCTGGTTCAATGGATGGACAGAGCAGCCTTTTATGGGTGACGTTGCAAACCCTTTGAGTGAGTACATGGAGGGGGTACTTCTAGAGCCATCGTTGTCACTGGCGGTGTAGATAGTCTCAGAAGTTATGAGTTGCTCTGACCAACTTCAGCTGGTGCACCAACTGCCACCTTTGCTGGAGCAATGGCTAGCAAGATCTAACCATGCGGAGAAATGACGTGGCTATGCAGTGAAATGATGGTGATCATATGTTCGAAACCAGAGCAGAAAACCTGATTTGAAGATGTCCTCCATGTTGGACTACTGTTGGACACAAGGCTGCCTTCAAACACGGTTCAGAAGTTGCAATTACTGCAAAATTCAGGGGCCTGCGTGCTTGTGGTAGCATGTCATTCCCATTGTGAAACAGCTACAATGGTTGCTAACTGTCCTCCAAGCACAATTCAAGGAGCATATGCTGATATTTAAAGCCTTGAATGACATGGGACCCAGCTATCTGGGACAATACCTTGTCTTTGTCTTAGCTCAGTTGCTTAGAGCATGATGCTGATAACGCCAAGCTTGTAGGTTCGATCCCTATGTGGGACAGCGTTGCAGGGAGTTGGACATCCACAAGGTCCCTTCCAACGCTACAATTCTATGATTCTCATGACAACCTGTCCCGTTTTTAAGATCAGCAAGCAAGGACCCCAGCTGTAAGGCATAAAATCCCTCTGTAAGGGTTGAAATCAGCCATGTGTACCCTAGTGGTACTTTTACATGACATACATCTCACCACTGATATACTTCTCAACTCAACATGATTTTAGGAGGAAGGTGAAGATATCTCTCTTTTGCCAGGCTTTTGGAGGTCAGTTTTATAGAGTGTCCACTGCTATTTTATGGAAGAGGGATTTACTTTGTGCTGTGTTTACTTTGGATTAATGTTTTAATTTATATATTGGTGTGATTTTAAAAAATATTTTATTTATGCTTTTCAGATTTATACATTTCACTAATTTTACAATCATTTTAGCATTTCACAACTTGACTTTCTTCCCCCTCTTTCTGCAGTTCCTTAAATTTATTTTTAATATCTTCTGCATATCCAAATTAACTTAATTTGCTCATTTATTCATCTGCTTAAATATATACTCTTATAAAACCACAGGTTATTACAATTATCCTGCAAATGTTTTTATCTGTTTACAATTTATCTGTAAATATTCCATAAACGATTTCCATTTGTCTATAAAAAGTTTGTTGTCTTGATTTCTTATTCTTCCGGTACGTTTTGCCATTTCTGCATATTCCACAAGTTTTTGTATCCATTCTTCCTTTGCTGGGACTTCTGCTTCTTTCCATTTTGGGGCGAGTAACATTGCTGCTGTAGTAGCGTACATGAATAAGTTTCTATACAGTTTACAAATCTGGAATTGAGGTCAATAATCCTCAATTACATAGTTTCAGAGAAACAAGATGTGCTTAGAAATGACTGCTGTTTAATATAAAATACTTTCCTCCATCTCCCTCTTTTGAAAATGTGGACCATCGAGGGCACCTGGTTGAGCTATGGAATTCCAGCACACCTGTGAACCGACCTGAATTCATCGCTTTGCACAGGTGTGGCCTGCCCCATTCTTATCCAGGTAAGCTGCTGCAGCAACACTGGAGTGAGGAGGGTGACTCCACCCTGCCTCATAGTCCACTAAGGGAACACAGTTTAGAAATATTTAAAATGGGGATGAAAACCTATTGCTCTCCAGGTGCTTTTGGGCTACAACTCCCACCATCCCTGACTGTTGACGAGTGTTGAAGTCCGCAACCACAGGTTTTCCATCCATGACTTAAAATAGTAGCAAGTATACAACGATGGATGGGATGCGGGTGGCGCTGTGGGTTAAACCACAGAGCCTAGGACTTGCTGATCAGAAGGTTGGCGGTTCGAATCCCCACAACGGGGTGATCTCCCATTGCTCGGTCCCTGCTCCTGCCAACCTAGCAGTTCGAAAGCACGTCAAAGTGCAAGTAGATAAATAGGTACTGCTCCAGCGGGAAGGTAAACGGCGTTTCCGTGCGCTGCTCTGGTTCACCTGCTTGGCAGGGGGTTGGACTCGATGGCCCTTGTGATCTATTCCAACTCTATGATTCTATGATTCTAGAAGCGGCTTAGTCATGCTGGCCACGTGACCCGGAAGCTGTACGCCAGCTCCCTCAGCCAATAAAGCGAGATGAGCACTGCAACCCCAGAGTCGGCCACGACTGGACCTAATGGTCAGAGGTCCCTTTACTTTTTTATACAACGATGGTATTTGACCTCTGTAATGACTCCCCAGTATTAATTCTTATGAGATTTCACAAGTTCGTTATACTCCTGAATTTGCCCCTTCGGTTCAAAACCCCCCAAGACCTCTAGGGCCTAGAGGTGTGAATAATATAAAAATATTGTATATAAAACCCTAAAGTATCTTTAGGGTAGTTAAATGTGACTTTCCACAATATTAAACCTGCATTATATCTTTATTTTCCTCGTACACACTTTTTAATTGGGCTCTAAATGACCCCAGTGCCCTTTCAGCAAAACCTTCTGTTATTTTCTGTTGCTTTGGTTTTTTTTTTTTTTTTTTTAAAAGGGGTTGTTCCTTGGTGAGTCAATTGATCCCTTGCTGTTGAAGTGTGACGTGATACTGCTTAGTGGTACGTTTCGCACCTGAATGTTCTTTCGGGGTCATTTATAACTCCAAATCCTCAAGAGGGTTAATTATGAGGCTTGCCGATGCTCAGGACTTCAGCTTTCAGCAATGTGCATGCAATGCTTTGAACCTTCTAAAGTGCTATATAAATGTTATGCATTATTCATAATCCATCCTATAGGAATACACAGCAACAAACATTTCAGGTCCCAGTCTTGTCTTTCCCTAGTTGATGACCAGAAATCTACTTGGACTATTTGTAACCTAATTGCTTGATTTGAAACAAAATTTATCTTCAGCTGAATAGCTTAAACTGAGTCCGGCAAGTGAGGGAAAAGGCAGGGTGAAATCCTGATCCATTAAAGAAGCAGCACGCTATTTCTCCTGCAGATGCCAACGAAACATTCTTGCCTGGAAAGTGTTTGATCTTTATGTCAGAAAGATGAAAACATAAGCATTAAATAGACTTGATGTCAAGGTTAATTCTGCACATAGGCCTATTCAGCCATCGTGGAGATTGTGTTTCTATTATGTTTCTATTATTCTATAAAATACTTCTTAGACAAGGAGTGTGTCAAATAGAATAAGATGTTTTTAAACAAGCAACACCATGAAACAAGGTTCTCTCCCCTCCCCTAAAAAAAGGGGGGGTAATCTGGAATAATGAAATATTTTAGTGGCTATGAAATATGTAATCTAAGTGTGCCATCTGCTGGTAGAAATATATTTCAACTGTGCTATATTATTTACTATCAAATATGGAAAAATCTTGCAACGAGGTACTTATTTTGTGCATCTCTGGGGAACAAAGCTGCTTTTAACTGAAGATAAGTCTGTGGTTCCATTCTTCCGCTTTTTAAAGGCTACAATCCAAAATATACTTGCCAATTTATACATGCCTGAATGTCTGCAACTTGGTGAATATTTGACAATCCAAGCTGAATTTGGTGGGTATCAACATTCACTAGTATAAGTCCCCGCAAGTTGGCTGCTCTGACCTAGCCGCCTGACTTGTCCCAGGAAAGGGAGAGTGTCAAGGGACCACCAATTACTACTATAGCGGTGAAGATGTGGGAACAGCTTATGGTACTTCCAAAATACAAGGTCAAATTGGAAATGGCCCAGCCAGTGACTATAATGTGTGTTTCTAAAGTGTGGTGAAAGTACAGTAATTCATGGGGAAAGGACATGTTCAGGATTCTAAGAATGCAAGTTGAGCCAGTAAATATTCCTTGACATTCTTGGGACGAATGATCATTTCATCACCCTGACATCCAAGCTATTGGTCAGACTGTGGGTGTGGGGGGGAAGGGAGGAGTTAAAGGGTCCATTGTTAAAATTTTCAGACCAAAGATCAGGGCAATAAAAACACACCATTCTGCCGAAGTTAATGGCCCATTAACAACAGCTGGCGGACCCAACACACTGAAATGATTCCTGGTCCTGGCATTTCACCAGCATTACTGCCTCGGAAGAAAATAGATCTGACCTTGTTGAAGTGGCCTTCTTCCTGTGTGGGGACCGTGGCAACTGGCTTCATTGCCCCTGCCCCCATATAAAGTGGCATGAAGCTTTGACAGAAGGAAAGATTGAAAAGCTGGAAGTTTTCACAATAGCTCCTAGGAGGAAACAGCTCATCTGGTAACTAAGCATGGCTATTTATTTATTTTTGCTATTTGGGGGCATTTTAAAGAATGGTTACGATTTCTTTGGAAATTTTTAAAAAGATCAGTCAATTTCCATTGAAGGATCTATGGGAGCGTTAGTGGCCTGTTGTTGTTATTGTTGTTGTTGTTTGTTGTTTTAATACCATCGATTTACAACCAAACCCCTCAGCTTGCCATCTCAGTGACTCTTTGCCATTTCGGCAGCAAATGCACACAGCAGTGAAATCAACCCCCACTAATGTGTTGATATCAAATTGATTTGGGGCTAACTTTTAGCTGTGCTGCTCAGCTGCAGGAAAGGACATTTGTGCTGGGCTTGTATGTGCGTGTGTGTGTGTGTGTGTGTGTGTGTGTGTTTAAAAAAGCAATGTGACATCTGCCCATACTGATAGCACACACTGACACGTTCATCGCCTATTTCAATTCACCTGACGACAATTAAGTGACATTAAAGAACAAGCCCTCCTCAGATTCTAATTTTTCCTGACGCTGTGTTCAATATTGTAATAGATGGTGCCAATAGAAGTTTGTCTCACACAGCTTCTTCCCTTTTCTTTCTATAATCTTCTTTAATAATTGCTGCTGGAGCCATTCTCCTCCTTGAATGAAGGACAGGACAGAAAACAACATAGAAAAGTGAGAAGCATAATCTTTCTGGCTATCATTGCAGTAGGTGCAAGACTCAGAGTTACTGATACAGCTACTTAAGATGGTGGTACTGAAATATATAGCCAAATCCTTGCCTGTTCAGTGTTTCTTCCTGGTGTCAGGAGAAGGCTGTGTCAAGGAGAGGTGTCCCAAACCTCTTCAAGATTAATCTGAACACTTCAGCCGGTGTCGCTTGTGTCATAGAATCATAGAATCATAGAATCATAGAGTTGGAAGAGACCACAAGGGCCATCGAGTCCAACCCCCTGCCAAGCAGGAAACACCATCAGAGCACTCCTGACATATGGTTGTCAAGCCTCTGCTTAAAGACCTCCAAAGAAGGAGACTCCACCACACTCCTTGGCAGCAAATTCCACTGTCGAACAGCTCTTACTGTCAGGAAGTTCTTCCTAATGTTTAGGTGGAATCTTCTTTCTTGTAGTTTGGATCCATTGCTCCGTGTCCGCTTCTCTGGAGCAGCAGAAAACAGCCTTTCTCCCTCCTCTATGTGACATCCTTTTATATATTTGAACATGGCTATCATATCACCCCTTAACCTCCTCTTCTCCAGGCTAAACATGCCCAGCTCCCTTAGCCGTTCCTCATAAGGCATCGTTTCCAGGCCTTTGACCATTTTGGTTGCCCTCCTCTGGACACGTTCCAGTTTGTCAGTGTCCTTCTTGAACTGTGGTGCCCAGAACTGGACACAGTACTCCAGGTGAGGTCTGACCAGAGCAGAATACAGTGGCACTATTACTTCCCTTGATCTAGATGCTATACTCCTATTGATGAGGCCCAGAATTGCATTGGCTTTTTTAGCTGCCGCGTCACACTGTTGGCTCATGTCAAGTTTGTGGTCAACCAAGACTCCTAGATCCTTTTCACATGTACTGCTCTCAAGCCAGGTGTCACCCATCTTGTATTTGTGCCTCTCATTTTTTTTGCCCAAGTGCAATACTTTACATTTCTCCCTGTTAAAATTCATCTTGTTTGTTTTGGCCCAGTTCTCTAATCTGTCAAGGTCGTTTTGAAGTGTGATCCTGTCCTCTGGGGTGTTAGCCACCCCTCCCAGTTTGGTGTCATCTGCAAATTTGATCAGGATGCCCTTGAGTCCATCATCCAAGTCGTTGATAAAGATGTTGAATAAGACCGGGCCCAAGACAGAACCCTGTGGCACCCCACTAGTCACTCTTCTCCAGGATGAAGAGGAACCATTGATGAGCACCCTTTGGGTTCGGTCAGTCAGCCAGTTACAAATCCACTGAGTGGTAGCATAGTCAAGACCGCATTTTACCAGCTTCTTTACAAGAATATCATGGGGCACCTTGTCAAATGCCTTGCTGAAATCAAGGTAGACTACATCCACTGCGTTCCCTTCATCTACCAGGCTTGTAATTCTGTCAAAAAACGAGATCAGGTTAGTCTGACATGACTTATTTTTCAGAAATCCATGCTGACTATTGGTGATCACAGCATTCCTTTCTAGGTGCTCACAGACTGTTTGCTTAATGATCTGCTCCAGAATCTTCCCTGGTATTGATGTCAGACTGACTGGGCGGTAATTATTTGGGTCCTCTCTTTTCCCCTTTTTGAAAATAGGGACAACATTTGCCCTCCTCCAGTCTGCCGGGACTTCGCCTGTTCTCCAGGAATTCTCAAAGATGACTGCCAGTGGTTCTGAAATCACATCTGCCAGTTCTTTTAATACTCTTGGATGCAGTTCATCTGGCCCTGGAGACTTGAATACATCTAGACTAGCCAAGTATTCTTGTACTATCTCCTTAGTTATTCTGGGCTGTGTTTCCTCTGCTGAATCATTTGCTCCAAATTCTTCAGGTCGGGCATTGTTTTCTTTATCGGAGAAGACTGAGGCAAAGAAGGCATTGAGGAGTTCAGCCCTTTCTGTGTCCCCTGTTTGCATTTCACCATCTTCTCCTCTGAGTGACCCCACGGTTTCTTTGTTCTTCCTTTTGCTACGTGTCCATCCTGTTAATTTTCAATCCCATTTTGTAGCTAGTGAAGCTACTCTGAATATTGACAGTTGCCTCTGGGGGACTAGCGGTATGCTCTCTTAGCAAGAAAGCAAGCGCAGCAGGGTTTCTGAAATATTTGCCAGTGCCACTGTAAAAATGCAGAAGGCAGCGACCTGTATAACTACATATGAGGCAGTTATCCAAGGTTTCTATATGAGGGAATTCGTTTCTCTCTCTCTCCAACCCCCACCCTTCCCCCAAAGAAAGGTTGTTTGCAATTCAAATGTCGAAGACGCCATAGCAGAAGAGTCCTGGCCACAGAGCATTTAAACTACTCTGCACTTATTTCTCCCCAATGAAATTAATGTTATTTTTCATTTATGTACAGAGGTTGGTAACAGCAACAAAACGATTCTGCTTTCACAATTCTAGCAGTCACACCAAACTGCTATGCTTTAGCAGGCATGAAAATACCTGGGTAGATGTTCATATGACCGCCTGCTTAAAAGTGCTAATTAATTTTGCTGCTAGGTAGGTGTGGTTCTGACTCAGGGGAGGCCACCATAGTCAGAGGGGAATTGTGTTGTCAGAAGCATCTCTCTCTCCCTGGATATGCCTTTAGAACAACAATGGGGGAACCTATCACCTTTCAGAGGTTGGATAACAATTCTCATCATCCACAGTAGTCATTGATGGTGGTCCAGCAACATGGCTACGTGTTCCCCATTTTTTATTTACAAAGTTCATGAAGCTCTCTAAACGACGCCCCCTCCAACTGCATCCAAAGGTTACCAGAGCCACATTGTATGAAGTTTAGTTTATGAAATTAGTTTTTTTTAAAAAAAAAAAAACAAATTCAACCCTATCTTTTCTCTCACCAGGACACCCAAGTGGAATCAAGAGAAACATCAATTGGTTAAAAGTAAGGGCAAAAGCTAAGCATTTAATGGGAATTTTTTACTTATACAGTGGTACCTCGGTTCTCGAACGTAATCCATTCCGGAAGACAGTTCGGCTTCCAAAAGGTTCAAAAACCGAGGCGCTGCTTCCCATTAGTTGCAAGAGTTTCTTGCTCTCAGCGGTAGCCACGTAACACATTCGAGTTTCGAAAAACGTTCGAAAATGGAAGCATTTACTTCCGGGTTTTCAGCGTTTGGAAACCAAAATGTTCAACCACGGAGGCGTTCAGGAATCGAGGTACCACTGTATATGCAGTTACGGTATATATTGCTTGGATGAGGAACTGCATTGTAAAATGCAAAAACAGTGCAAATATCAAAGGATGGCTGTTTCATTTTGCATATTGTTTCAGAAAGTGAAGATTTGATAAGTCCCAACTGAATCTAAGTTCTCCCCCAGCCTTAACTCTAAGTGAATATTTAAGAATGCATATTAAAAACATCAGGAATCCCTGTTAAGATCTTCCAAATTCTGAGTAGAAAAGCATATGAATTCCTATGTCAAAGGAAAGCATACTTTCTCAAAGACAGTGAAACTGTCTAATATGCAGAAAATGTAATGTTTGTATGCACCGAAGTTAAGACTTACGTAAAAGTTTGCATTTGCATAATAGAGAAATTTACATTACGCAAGAGGTTGCAGTCTAGATGAAAGCAGAATACTGATGTTTTTCCATTTCACAGGGTTAGGCTACCTGATGGCTCATAGACAGAAACCTGAGCTGCAGCTCTCTCACAGCTGGAGAGGAAATTTAAGAAGTCAGTGAAGGCTAGCTGTAACAGGTGCAGCTGCAGCTAAGCTCCACAGTGATGAAAAAACCTAGGATCTCTCTCTGGGACCAGAAAGAGGAAAGTTTACTAAAATGTATAAAGGACTGAACCATATTGGCTGGTACTTGAGAGCAACTTGTTACTTTATTATTTTGTAACATCTATCTTACTGTAACTAATATTTAAGATTATTCTGCAGTAAAGTTTTGAAACTCATTCTTGTGGTGGAGAGATTCATTTCTACTCTTAACAAGGTCCAAATCAGGGATTCTACTGAACAACTCTAACAAGAAGTATGTATTTACAATATTTTGATAGCTATGTCTATGATTGTTACAAAAATAGTGTCTTTTACGTTTAAAGTTGGTGTTTTAGTCCATTATTATTATTATTATTATTATTATTATTATTATTATTATTATTATTCCCTGCCCATCTGACTGGGTTGCCTCAGCCACAGTGGGCAAATTCCAACACATATAAAAACATAATAAAACATCGAACATTAAAAAGTTCCCAATACAGGGCTGCCTTCAGATGTCTTCTAAAAGTTCTGTGGTTCTTTATCTCCTTGACATCTGATGGGAGGGCATTCCACAAGCCACTGCTGAGAAGGCCCTTCAAAGTTGCATTCCACTTTCTGCCACAATTCTTCTTATTGACTGTAACCCCTGTGAAGAAACAGGTTCAGGAAACATAAGGTACCCAGTATGCTTTGCCTTCTTTTCAGTAAAAGGGAATTTCTTCAGCAATGCATTCAGTAGTTGCTAGTGAAGCCGTTTGCTTTTGATAGCAGCAAACCTGTATGAACTGGAGACTACATTCATTCAATACTACATGTGCACTGTCCAACTACATGTGCACACGGTTATGCAAGTTGTACACTCCTTGAATGTAAGGTGTGAACATCCCTGTGAACACTTTGCAACAAGACTTTGTGAGAACCAAGAATGAGACAGGTCTCCAGATCCTACGTAGGCACTCAGTATGAGCTAGGCCAGTATAAATGCAACAGGTGCTAGGTCCTGTTACTGCCTAGCCAATGTTATGCCTGACTGATGTGATTGATGTTATACACTGTTGATGTACGTAGGTTTTAATTTACAGTGGTGCCCCGCAAGACAAATGCCTCGCAAGACGAAAAACTCGCTAGACGAAAGGGTTTTCCGTTTTTTGAGTCGTTGCGCAAGACGAATTTCCCTATGGGCTTGCTTCGCAAGACGAAACGTCTTGCGAGTTCTTGCAAGTTTGTTTCCTTTTTCTTAAAGCCGCTAAGCCGTTAATAGCCGCTAAGCTGCTAAGCCGCTAAGCCGCTAATAGCCGCTAAGCCGCTAATAGCCGTGCTTCGCAAGACGAAAAAACCGCAAGACGAAGAGACTTGTGGAACGGATTAATTTCGTCTTGCAAGGCACCACTGTATTTGTTTTTTAATCTTATATTTTGGAAACGTACATCCAGGGTTTTCCCCCTTTAAATTTTTGGGGGGCTCCCAAGAGAGAGGGGCCCTAAGCTATAGCTTGTTTAGCTTATACGTAAATCTGGCACTGCAGGTGGGGGAATGTGAGATCTTGGCTCCCCCTTCACTGTGGCCCTGATGAAACACACACATACAGAGGCTGCTTTTTAGAGGGAACATCATTATAAGAAGGTTTTGCAGAGGGGAGAGCAATGGAGTCTTGTTGACAGCTGCTAGATGGGCAAAGAAGCAGGAGGCAGCATTGGGACAGAAGAGTTGGTGATTCAACATAGCTACACAAAAGCTTTTAAAGCAGTCATTTAAAGGTCATTGAGACAGGGGGTGCAGAGCCAATCTGTCTACAACAAAAGGTTTTGACAACAGACAGAACTGACAGAAGCCAACAGAAGGCAAGGCAGCCTGAGGGGCTCCCTGTATTTTCTTTCCCCGTGGCCATATAAGAAGGGGTTGGGGGCCTTGCCTGAGGGATGTCAAGGCCTGACAGACTTTCCCCAATGTGAAGGGGGGGGAGAGAGATAGGAATGAGGGTGATGTCTTGAAGAAGAGCAATCATTTGTTACTTGATGGGCCCAATTGGCAATACCGCAGTCTGTCAAGCTCTCCATTTCTAGAGGCACAAATGCCAGTAAACTTCAATGAGAACCTTTCAGCACTTGAAATAATACCTGGGTCGTGTCTGGGGCCTAAAGCAAGAATACATCCCACAACAGTCTTTGGCAATTACAGGGATGGAGTTCCACTAATGTGCAGAGTGTGTGTTGTTGTTGTTTTTTAATGGCTTGTGTGGAAAAGCAAGGAAATTAAGGCACACATGCTTAACTTCCACACCATGTAAGAAGCATACATGATCAACATTCTCACATATTGTGCTTACTTTTAGCCCTTGTGAACCCCGGCACTCCATGCTATTTTTTCTTCTGGTCCAAAACATCTTCCACTGCAACTGAAGAGACACTGAAACTCAGGACGCTATGACAGCAATGGCCATTTAGCGACATACTTGCCCTCTACTGTCCCTTTATGGCTTCATTGTGGTTAACACGGAATGGTATATGTTTGTAGTGACAAGGATGAGGTTGATTGATAGAGGATGCAGACGTGGACCCAATAACAGGCCTAAACAGGCATTATTGAGGCGCTCTATATTACTCTGTCGCAAGAGAAAGGAGAAGGTGAGTCTTGCGTTTATGAGTCAGTACACCTAGAACAGGGTTAGAACACTTTGTAAGGAATTAATTAAATCTTTAGAATTGACACTCAGAGCAAATTTGCAGGTCTGATGATCTCATAGTAGGGATGGGCTGAGCAGTTCGTTGCATCCTATTGCTCAGCCATAGGTCTATTCTGCTCTCTTTTGTGTGGATTTTTTCATTGAATGAACAAAAAGCATGCAGTTGAATTGCATGTATTTTGCCCAAGTGTTTTATGTAAATAGCACACTTTTGATGCAAAATGTGCCCTTTTCAATGTATTCATCCATAAAAAATATGCATTTTGTGTGCATCCTTTGAGATACAATATGTATCTTTGTGTGAACTTTTCCCACACAAAAACTGCACTGCAAAGTCGGGAGAAGTGTGTAATCAGACTGGGAGTTGTGTTCCAATCCACATGCAACCTTGAAAGTATCAGATCAGATCAGTCCCACAGCGAAAAAGCACGCCAAACAAATTCCTCCCCATTCCTCCTCAAGTTTGAATAGTTCAGCCTTTCATTCGTTAGCTGTTAGTTTTACTTTTCCTCAAACATTCACAAGGTTGCATTCTGCAGCTTAAGATAAGACATGAAAGAAGTTAGTAATTAAGAATTTAGCATTGAAAAAGATTACATATTATTAACTTTTGACATAACACTGATGGCTTTGTCAAATTGGCATGTGCCCAGTTTGTAGATGAAGAGGATTAACGCTGAAAAGCGCATGTGAATACAAACCAAAATGCACAGTAACATGCTACATGTGAATACACACAGCAATATGTTAGGAGTACATGTGCCATAGTCTACCACTTGCAAACGAACATAGTAATCTGCAAATACTGGGGCACTTGCAAAGAGACAGAGTATCGTAAGGAGCAGCACATTCAGATGTGAGGTTTATTGTGTTCGTTTCACTAGTTATAATGTCGGTGCCTCTGTCCTACTTTCTAACAATTACTTTTAGATTGTGCAACTGTGGCTTTCGATTGATATACTGCTTTTGTTGTTGTTTAGTCGTTTAGTCATGCCCAACTCTTCATGACCCCATGGACCAGAGCACGCCAGGCACTCCTGTCTTCCACTGCCTCCCGCAGTTTGGTCAAACTCATGCTGGTACCTTCGAGAACATTATCCAACCATCTCGTCCTCTGTCGTCCCCTTCTCCTTGTGCCCTCCATCTTTCCCAACATCAGGGTCTTTTCCAGGGAGTCTTCTCTTCTCATGAGGTGGCCAAAGTATTGGAGCCTCAGCTTCAGGATCTGTCCTTCCAGTGAGCACTCAGGGCTGATTTCCTTAAGAATGGATACGTTTGATCTTCTTGCAGTCCATGGGACTCTCAAGAGTCTCCTCCAGCACCATAATTCAAAAGCATCAATTCTTCAGTGATCAGCCTTCTTTATGGTCCAGCTCTCACTTCCATACATCACTACTGGGAAAACCATAGCTTTAACTATACAGACCTTTGTTGGCAAGGTGATGTCTCTGCTTTTTAAGATGCTGTCTAGGTTTGTCACTGCTTTTCTCCCAAGAAGCAGGCATCTTTTAATTTTGTGGCTGCTGTCACCATCTGCAGTGATCATGGAGCCCAAGAAAGTAAAATCTCTCACTGCCTCCATTTCTTCCGCTTCTATTTGCCAGGAGGTGATGGGACCAGTGGCCATGATCTTCGTTTTTTTGATGTTGAGCTTCAGACCATATTTTGCGCTCTCCTCTTCCACCCTCATTAAAAGGTTCTTTAATTCCTCCTCACTTTCTGCCATCAAGGTTGTGTCGTCTGCATATCTGAGGTTGTTGATATTTCTTCCGGCAATCTTAATTCCGGCTAGGGATTCATCCAGCCCAGCCTTTCGCATGATGAATTCTGCATATAAGTTAAATAAGCAGGGAGACAATATTCAGCCTTGTCATGCTCCTTTCCCAATTTTGAACCAATCAGTTGTTCCATATCCAGTTCTAGCTGTAGCTTCTTGTCCCACATAGAGATTTATTTGTTATTTCTGTAAGCTGCTTAGAGTCTGTTTCAGTATTAAGTGGTATATCAATATATAAAATTAAATGAATAAAAAAATAAATGATATAATAACACATTTGATCCACTGTCATTAAAAGAAAAGAAAGAAGGAAAGTGGAATTTTGAGATGTGAAGAATTCCTACTGTTCGCATTATGGCAGTCTTTCTTCATGTATGATAAGTGGAATATTGGTGTGAAGCCTCATCGTGAAATATTGAAGAGTGTTTGCCTTTGGAAAAATTGGATTACATTTCCCCCCTCTAAGAGCCCCTAAATTTGTACCTTTATATATATGCATGCTCTTGGGCAGATAAATGAACAGCATTTTCATAGCAATATACCGTATGCTAAAAGAGATCTTACTAGGTTTAGGAGAATGAATTAAAAAATGACGAACTGTTAAATTGGGGAGGGAGCTGTAGAAAATAAAGTTTAAGAGAGGTTCAAATCAGGCATTTATACTTCTGCCTTTGATTCCCATCTGTGCCTTCCTCACCACCAAGCGATACCTCCAGGCAGAGAGAGACCTG